AGAGAGAGAGAGAGAGAGAGAGAGAGAGAGAGAGAGAGAGAGAGAGAGAGAGAGAGAGAGAGAGAGAGAGAGAGAGAGATTTGTGGTGTACAGTAGAGGTGGTGTGAAGAAGAGAGAGGGTTAGTTTGTAGATGAACGGATAGTAGTCTGTGTGATTTGTGAGACTACCTAGTGCTTATGTGAAGGGGACTAACGAACGTTGTTAGCTGCATGGGAGGAAGAGTGGGTTTGTTGTTGTTAGCTGCATGGGAGGAAAGTTGAGGGAGGAAGGGAAACCCGAGAACGACGCTATTCGAAAATACTAGTAACAATCCGTTACGAGCTAATTATAGACTAGACACTCCCCAGATAATATGTCGTCGCTTACGTATCATCGACTAGATATGGGTCCACGTTCATCCGTTGGGCTTAGATTCTGTACCCAACAAGGTGTGACCGACGCAGAGGCCTTCGTTCGCCACCAACACGACACAGTCGTTCGTCAATTGTCTGCTCTCTCTCTCTATATGCAAAATCAGACTCATGGTTCAAAGCTGGGTCAGCAACCTGCCATGCCGTTGACGTCATCATCATCATCATCATCTTCCTCCTCCTCGTCCTCCTCGCCGTCATCTGCTTCATTTTCGCCATCGCTGTTTTCGTCGCACTACGCTTGCTGTCCTCCTCCCTCCTCCTCCTCCTCCTCGTCCTGTTCTTCTTCTTCTTCTTCTTCTTCTTCTTGTTCTGGTTCTGGTTCTCGCTGCGTGTCTTCTTCCTCTCCTTCTTCATGCTTCGACTTCCCGGCAACGACGGCGAAGGGAGTATTCACCCTCCCCTCGCCCTCCCTTCTCCCGACCTCCTCCTCCTCCTCCTCCCCCACCTCCTCCTCCTCTGCCTTGCGCCACAGCGAGGGTGGGTTTCGACATTCGTCATCGTCTTCCGCGGCTTATCCCGCCGCCTCTGCGTTCGCGGGTTTCCCCAGCTACCTGGATTTCGGTAATTTCGATGAACTTTCACCTCGGATCGTTGATTACGCAGACGTCTTCGCCGCCGGGCATTTCCTGAACGACGAGAAAACACGTGGCGCTTCTGCTGCCGCTGCTGCTGCTGCCGCCACGTGGCAGTGGTCATCGCTATGGGGACCCCCGAGCGGCATCAAGCGCGACCATCGATGTAACAGATCGAACAGTGCGCAGAGCCCTCTGCAGGGGGGGGAAGTAGTAGGAGGAGGAGGACTGAATTCAATGAACTCATCGTCATCTTCCAGGGGGGATTACTCAGATGAATACTCGACGTCGTCCGTAGATTCTGATTGCTACGAACAGGGAGAGGGAGAGGGAATGGAGGCGGAATCGACGTTGCAAAAGCCATCATCGCCAACGACACGTGGCACTTCGTCAGGAACCGGGCCCATCATGAGGTAAACAAAAATACTAAACGCCGAACTTATCCACCTAGTACCTGCGACGTTCAATGACCTTCTTCTCCCTCCCTCCCTCCCTCCCTCTCTTCTCCCTTTCTCCCTCTCTCTCTCCCCTTCCGTTTCTGTATATCCTTGTGTTCACCCTGCGTCCTCAACCCCTCTCTTTCCCCTTGCCCCCCCCTCTTCCCCCTTGCCCCCCCCTCTTTCCCCTTGCCTCCCTCTCTTTCCCCTTGCCTCCCTCTCTCTCCCTTGCTGAAAAAAGAGTAACAGTGCAAGAAACGATCATTTGACCGCATTTTGCCATCCTGCCCCATTACTTTTTTTCTGCTTTATTTCTTTTTTCACTTGTCGCAAAGCCCCTGTTGGTTGTCTTTCCGTCTTCTCCTTCCTGCGCTTCCCTGCGCCTCGTTGTTCCTTCTCCTTGCTGCTGCTTGTCTCCTACGTTCTTCCCCCGAAGAAAACGTACGGTAAATATAGCCGTATCTAGACTTAAATGTGCCCCAAATTCAGTTATAATCACCGTACAATTTATTCGGAGGAAGAAGATAGTCGTGGTTGTTGGTAGTTGCCCCTACCTTCTTGCCCTGACTTGAGACAAATTGCGCCAGGATGTTTCGGTTTTCGTACTTGCATTTCCCGCTCCATCGGCTTCCACCTCCTCCTCTTCCTCCTCCTATTCCCCCTTCTCCTGTCTTCTCCTCTCTCTTCTCCTCTCTTCTCCTCTCTCTTCTCCTCTCTCTTCTCCTCTCTTCTCCTCTCTCTTCTTCTCTCTCTTCTCTTCGTCTTGTGCGCTTTTTCTCTCTCTTCTCCTCTCTCTTCTCCTCTCTTCTCCTCTCTCTTCTTCTCTCTCTTCTCTTCGTCTTGTGCGCTTTTTCTGCGCGACATGTATGTCCAAATTTATAATGGGCAAATCTAGGAAGTCAGTCATATTCAATGTACTGTCATCTTCCCCCGAACACAACGCACCCTGATAACGAATATATACAAGGTGTCTTTGCGGTCCGATTCAGCCAAAACCAGGGTGCGTTGTGTTTTTCACTGTTCCTTTTTCTTCTTCTTCTTCTTCTTCTTCTTCTTCTTCAGCCAAAATCAGGGTGCGTTGTGGTTTTCACTATTCCTCTTCTTCTTCTTGCCGTTGTTGGTTGTGGTCTCCTACTTCGTCGGTTTTTCCTTTTTCCTCATCTCCACCGCCATAACCGTTGTTCTTTTTTTCAACATTTGTTTTTTTTTGGTTAAGGCCCAGTGCCCATGGCAGATCTTTTTATTCGATAACAAAAGTGTTTCATGGAGGGAAAGTACTCTATGGGCCTCGCTCCATTACTCATCACAAGCAGAAAAAGGGAAAAAAAAAAGGCCATCTTCCCGTGTTCTTGAGGAAGATTCATTCTCTCAATTTGTATAACTTGGTGAGTAGTGGAGCGAGGCCCTATGTACTGAGTTACGATGGCGATCAATAAAAATAAAAATAAAAAAATGAAGATTTGGACCGGTCATGTCTGCTGTATCTGGACTCAAATGTGAGCCAAATACGACTATGATGTCCCATACGTTCTATTCGGGGGAGGACGGGGAGTGTTTTAAGATCGCTAGTGGTTAATTGCTAATAAGTAGTTTAAATATCTATATTTAGTTTTCTTCCCCCAAAATAGGAAAAAAAGACACCATGGTAGGTGTACTTGGTCGCCCTCTGTACCCCTTTGGTGCTGTCGTTTTCCCTCTCTCTACCTATTTCCCTTTCCATGTCGTGTTTTGATAACCACATTCCCCCACCCTCTACGGTAGTTCTCCCACTCTTCCCCTCCCCCCAACGCACACCCTCCCTTCTCCACTCTTCCCACGCTTGCTCTTTTCCAAGCCTCCTTTTTATAGCCTCGTATTTTTGTATCACGACCCCTCCCTCTTCTTCCGACTCCCACCTCTCTCTCTCTCTCTCTATGTATATATGTATATATATTTTTCCCCTTTCTTTTCTTTTTTCTGTTCCTCTCCCCTCCTACCCGAATCATGCCCTCCCATTCTCCACTCTCTGCCCGCCACGTGTTTAGAGTCCGGTCTTCTTTCAGCTCCTTCCTGTTCCATCCATGCTTGCCGCTTTTCCATACGCACCTCTGTTCTTCTTCCTTGCCTCTCCGCCCCGAGAGAGTGGGCATCGACTCTCTCTCTCTCTCTCTCTCTCTCATATTCCGTCTTCTTTCCCCTCTATATACTCCTTCCTCCTCTTTCCGTGAGAGTGGGCGGAGAGGGTCATCGACTGTCTGCCATTCCTACCTCTTCTCCCACTAGTATATCCCCCGGCTTCTTCCTGTTTCCGCTGCTGCCTTTCCCCCCCYCCCCCCTCCTCTTTGCCTCTTTCCTCACCGCTCCGCGTCCGTGTTCTGCGCGTGTTCAGTTCCCCTTCGCGCCCGCCCGCCTCTCTTCCACCGTGGCGGGGGGCCGCGCCGCATCTCCCACGGGGAATTCTCCCGCGTTTCTCCCCCTCCTTTCCGCTCCCTTTCACTCTCTCTCCCTCTCCCCCGCTTTCCCCCCTCGGCCCCTCCCCGGCGGGGCCCCGCGCGCTCTAGTTTGCCCTGCCTGCGTTGCTTGCGGTCCCATATGACCTTCTGTTTCTGTTTTTTCGTTATTCTTAATGTCTTTTCTTTGCCCTGTGTGTTAAGTCTCGTCTCTCCCATTCGATTTTTTCCCGCCGTTCTGTTACCATCCAATGACAGCGTCACCTCGTAATCAATCTATCAATTAATCGATCAATCAATCGATCAATCAATCAATTAATCAATTAATTAATCAATCGAGGCTGTACTTAATTAGTCTTCTCACGTCGTAATCAATCCATCAATCAATCAATCAATCAATCAATCAGGGTTGTACTTAATTAGCCTTAACGTGAGCGATCAATCGCCCAAAGCAGTAATTAATATAATATTAACTTGGCAATTATTAATATTATAATTAATAATTATCATTATATTGAGTATCTAGTAATATATTAAGTAATTATTAATATGTTAAGTAATTGGTGTGAAAAAACGGTAGAAGTAAGTAAATCAATTGATCAAATAAGTGTAGTGAATGAAATTGAATGACTTAAATCAGATTCGTTCACTACTTAATTAATCATGAGAATTAATTGCTTAATACTTAGTTAATAAGTAGAATTAAGTGCTTAATAATTCGGGTGAAAAAACGGTAGTAGTAAATAAATCAATTGATGAAGTGTAGTGAAGGAAATTGAATGTGACTCAAATGAGTTTTTTTTTCACTAAATTATGCCATCAGCTACTTGATTGCATAATAATTAGGAGTACCTACCTAATTAACTGATGGATGGAATAATTGAGTAGGAACTCGTAATTATTAAGCAATTAATGCTTCATTAATTAATTTTCGTAAACGTCATTAAGTAATTATGAACTAATGAATAATCGTGAATTTCCGAATATATGAAATGAATAGATTGAGTGAGTGATCAATAATTTCTAAGTTAAACGAATAGATTGATTTGTTAATTAGTGAATTTACGTGAATGTCAACTGAAAAAAATTGTCAGTGGTCAATTCCCCCTTCCCCCCCCCCCCCCCCCCCCCTAGTTGTCCGATGAGCCGCGGATCAAATAGCTAGCTTGTTTGATTAGTTAGTTTACGTAATAAATGTCAATAAAATAATTACCAGTGATTAGTTTTCTTTTTTCTTTTTTTTTCACAAATGGTCCGATGGACCGCGGATCAGCGATTAAACTGTTCAGAAGGCCGTGAAAGGTATACGAGGTTTTTTTTTTTTTTTTTTTTTTAATGTATGGCGAAGAATCAAGCGAGTGACTAGGCTACCAGCCGGGCCGCCCGGGTCACCCTATTTTCCCGGGCGGCCCGGCCGTGCAAGCACCAGGGAAGGTCCCAGTCAAAAAAAAAAAAAACCAAATCCAAAAAATCTGAAAAAAAAAAATGTTTTGCCGAAATATACACTGAACAACTTTTGCCTTAGGGTCAAATCAAAATTCTTTACCAAATTTAAAATAAAAATTTTAATTACAAAATATTTTTTATATTTTTATATTTTTATTTCTTTTTGGCCCGGCCGGGCAAGTGTACCCGGGCCACTCTGGTAGCCTAGGTGAGTTTTTTTTTTGTGTGTGTCTGTGTGTGTGGCGAAGAATCAAGTGAGTTTTTTTTTTTTTTTTTTTTTTTGGTTGGTTTTGTGCCGAAGAATCAAGTGCAGTATCTTTTCTGATGAGTTTCATAGATGACGGGCCTCGCTCCACTACTCTGGACATGCACAGAAAACAAAAATCATGTTCTATCCATGTTCTAGCGGAAGATTCACTCTCGTTTTGCACATGTCGAGAGTAGTGGAGCGAGGCCCGAGCAATCTCGAAATCAGTTGAGGCTCCTGTTCTGATGAGTCAGTCGGTGAAACTCCGACGAAACAGCGGTTGTCATAGCCCGTCGATGGTGCTGGTGGTGGTCCTCTTCTCCCTCTCTGCCGACGGTTTACCGGGCAGCAGCTCTGTTTGACGATATATATATATCTAGAAAAAAAAATATATATATGACATTTGATTAGCGACTTAAACATATAGCATAACTGAGTGAAACGACGGCATCAGAATATAGAACGCCACGTCAGCATCGGTATGTGGAACAACTTGCTGTCCAGATGCAGCGGGTTTCAGTGAGAAGAGTACGTCAAGTCACCATCGGTGTGCCAAGAGATCGACGACTACCCGTCTTCTCCCGAATAGAACGCACGATCATTATCGGCGTGTATTTGGAGGAACTTGCAGTCCAGATGCAGTCCAGATGCAGCTATAATGACCGGGCGTTCTATTCCGGTGAAGACGATAGCGAGTGCGTGAGCCTAGTTTTTTTTTTTTTCTTATTTATTCTTCCTGTTGATTATTGGATTGTAGGATATGCCTGATCAATATTTTTTTTTTTTTTTTTTTTTTTTTTCTTTTTTTTTTTCTTTTTGTTTTTTTTTTTTTTTCTCTCTCTTTTTCTTTTTTTTTTTTTTTTTTTTTTTTTTTTTTGTTGATTATTTGATTGTAGTATATGACTGATCAATAATGTATTAGCACAACACAGCAGCAGGGTGGGCCTCACTAGCTGTAATTGGAGCAACTTGCAGTCCAGATGCAGCGACAACGATCGGGCGTTCTATTCGGGTGAAGACGGTAGCGAGTGCATGAGTCGATTTTTTTTTCTTTTTTCTTTTTTCTTTTTTCTTTTTTCTTTTTATTATTTGATTGTACTATGACTGATCAACAATGTATTAGCAAAAAAAAAAGGAATGTATTAGCACAACACAGCAGCATGGTGGGCCTCACTAGCACAGGGGATTGCATAAATATCCTGAATCTGGACGTGTTTTAAGCGGACATGCAGAAAAGCAGTTCAATCTCGACTTTCTGCACCTTTCACCAAACACGTCCAGATTCAGTTCTTCAATCCTATCCTCTTTGCTAGTGGGACCTCGCCCTTGGGTGGGCCTCACTATTAGTGGCTGCTCGTTATGAGAAGGGATCGGGCCGGTAGTCGGGAGCGCGACTTGGATTCCCGGCGGCAGTAGCCACTACCGGTAGTAGCTCAATTACAGCCACTGAGCTGTGTCACTCTGCCGTTTTTTTTTTTTTTTTTTTTAATGCTAATTATGTGACCCCGATGGACCACGGCTCATATATTAAACTGCCCGGGGACCTTGTCCGACTAGCTCCGTTGAGCTACCTCAACGCCTGAATCTGGACGTTTTTGCGGAGATGTTTAGAAATGGTGTCGAGTTTCCTGAACTGCACGTCTCCACAAACACGTCCAGATTCAGGCGTTGAGGTAGCTCAACGCTGCTAGTGGGACTTGGCCCCAGGGACCTTGTCCCACTATCTCCGTTGAGCTACAGGGCCGAGGTCCCACTAGCAAAAAGGATAGGATCGAGCTCCTGAATCTGGATGCGTTTTAAGTAGAGATGCAGAAAAACAGTTCAATCTCGATTTCCTGCACATGGTCATAAAATCGTCCAGATTCAGGCATTCGATCCGATCCTCTTTGCTAGTGGGACCACGCCCCAGGAGGTCAACGTTGGGTTTTCGACGCTGTGTGTGACTGTAAGCGACAACGGAGATTGTTGCACGCCCGTCCAAGTCATCTAGCGGTCCGTTTTTAATTAAAAAAAGGGAATCGATACTACTATCTTTGCTTTTTCTTTCAACAAAAAGCAGAAGTAAATCCTTTCTCTCGAATGCTACTCCCCCTACCCTCGCCCCCTTTCCGTTGAGCTACCGGTCGCTGTCTCCTTTTTCGAGACAGCTACCGGTAGCTCAACTACCCTCTTGTTCCCCCAGAAGGCCTTTTTTCAGAGAAAAACTGCACGAGCCTCCTCTTCCGTTTGCCATTTTTTGTACAAAAGGGATTCGGACAACTCACTCTTCATTTGAGCCAGATCCCACTGGCAAAGAGGATTGGAATGAGTGTCTGAATCGGGACGTGTTTGTGGGGTGTTGCAGAAAACTGTGATTGATCTGCTTTTCTGCATATGTGCGTGGAACACGTCCAGATTCAGACGCTTATTCCAATCGTCCTTGGCAGTGGGATCTGGCCCTTTTCTGCTGTGGAATGGAAGTGACCGTATGCCACTGGAAGTGTGACAAAACAAAAAACCAAAAAACAATTGTATTCATCGCGCCATTTATAAATGCATTTCTCATTTGAAATTGAATTAGAATGATGAATATTTTCAGCTGTCGCACCGTTGAGCTGCCTCAACTAAACGGTGCAAGTGGGGCAAGGTCCCAGGGACCTTGTTGCACCGTTTAGTGGACCTAGCTCAACGATGTGACGACTGAAACTGTTTTTTTTTTTTTTTTTTTCATTTCAAATTCAGAAATGCATTATAAAATCCGCCTAAGATACAGTTCATTCTTCCTTTTTTTTTTTTTTTCCACAATTGAGAGTGGCATACGTGACGTCCCAAGAGTCGCTCCGGGGCCAAGTCCCACAAGCGGCGTCGAGCTACCTCAACGCCTGAATCTGGACGTGTTTGTGGAGACGTGCTTTTTTGGAAACTCGACACCATTTCTGCACATCTAAAGCGTCCAGATTTAGGCGTTGAGGTAGCTCAACGCTGCTTGTGGGACTTGGCCCCCGTCAGGACGTGTTTGTGGAGACGTGCATTTTAGGAAACTCAACACCATTTCTGCACATCTCCGTAAAAGCGTCCAGATTCAGGCGGAGGTAGCCCAACGCTGCTTGTGGGACTTTGCCTCCGATCCTATGGAGAGTTGGCCTATTCGCCCTATTCCTGTAGTTGATGCATATGTGCGGTCCTTCAAAGGTCGCACCAAATTGGACGATGTGCGGTCCTTCAAAGGTCGCACCAAATTGGCCGTAGTTCACGCATCGTCGGTCCTGCAAAAGTCGCACGAAAATAGCAAAGTACAAACGAATTCACAGATTTCTGAAAACATTAAAAAAAAAAAAAAAAAAAAAAAACTCCAGAAAGGATGCCAACGGTCGTTGAAATGGCTGTCTCCAAAAAAGGAAGGAGACAGCCAGTTCGACATCAACGGAAAGTGGCGAGGGTAGGGGGAGTAGTATTCGAGAAAACGTCATTTTTGCAACTATTTTGTTGCAATAAGAAAGGCGTCACTTAAAAAAAAAAAAAAAAAAAGAGGGGACCGCTGGATGATTGCTAGGGCGTGCATCTCCTTGGGCGCCTACAGTCGCACGGCGAACGTGGACCTAAGCTCAACGGACGAAGTGGGACAAGGTTCCACCAGAACAGATGTCCCTCTGCTTTTTTTTTTTTTTTTTTTTCACTCTGCTTTCGAACGTGGCTACGTGGAGAATTTGAATACCGACAGCAGCAATCAGCCTGCTCTTCATTCCCCTTCCCTGTTCCCCCTCCCCCTCCTTTCCCGATACGTGCGTTCCTTTTTTTTATTTTTTTAATAAGAAAAACAGTGGAAATCACCTCCCATATATCTCTATTACCCCATTTGGGAAACACCGCATCATTAAAAAAAAAAAAAAAAAAAAAAAATCGCATCACATGCCTCCCTCTGCACTGCGCGGCTCTCTAAACGTATCCGTTCGAATGTATCTGGTCAACCTTCAGCCGAATTGTCTCTGTAGAAATACATTTCAAAATGTTCGATCCGTATCTGGTCAACCTTCAGCCCAGAATACATCTAGACTATACATTTCAAAATGTTCGATCTCTATCTGGTCAACCTTCAGCCCAGAATACATCTAGACTTACATTTCAAAATGTTCGATCTGTATCTGGTCAACCTTCAGCGCAGAATACATCTAGACTATACATTTCAAAATGTTCGATCCGTCCGAATGTATCTGGTCATCAAACTTCAGCCGAATTGTCTTGGTCGAAATACATTTCAAAATGTTCGATCCGTCCGAATGTATCTGGTCAAACTTCTGTCCAGAATACATCTAGAGTGTTGAGTAGTCGAGCGAGGGCCCATTTGTGAAATCCCTCTTATTGGAGATGGTTCCATGTTGATAACAGTAAATAACGACTCAGCGGCGGCAAGATCCCCCTTTTTTTTTTTTTTAACGGGGACGGCCTTATGATAGGATCATTGAACTGACCAGCCCCAGGCAATTCAGCCTCACAACCCTTTTACTAGCAGGAAGTCCGGCCTCTATGGACAGGTGGGCTTAACCCGGCGCGTCGTACTGCTCTCTCTCTCTCTCTCTCTCTCTCCCTGTCTGTCTGTTTGTCTGTTGCTATGACAGGTGGGCTGAACCTGGTGCGTGGTACTGCTCTCTCTCTCTCTGTCTCTCTCTCTCTCTCTCTCTCTCTGTGTCTCTGTCTGTCTGTCTGTCTCTCTCTCTCTCTCTCTCTCTCTCTCTCTCTCTCCCCTGGATGTGCATGTGTGAACATTATTGCTTGCGAGTGTATAAAGCTTGTAAGACTCGTTACTTACCCCTGGATGTGCATGTGTGAACATTATTGCTTGCGAGTGTATAAAGCTTGTAAGACTCGTTACTTATAAAGCTTGTAAGACTCGTTACTTTCCATCTTTCTATTTTATCGTTCAGTCATAGAATGCGAGCTCTCTGTTGCGATCATGTCCACTTGGTTGTGTTAGCAAGTTGAACTTGGCATGCATCCACCTCTCAGTAAGGGCGGACTCCCACTAGGACTTGTTTATGGACGTAATTGTGGTCAGATGCATCCACGTCCGACCATGAATGCGACCAGAGAATAATAAGTTGTTGCAGTCTGGAAACTGTTGAGACTTGATGGCTGACGCCTTGGATGTTTTTGGAAATGTCTGTGTGTGTGTGTGTGGGCGGGTGGGTGTTTTGGATTTTGGCGTGCAGGAAGGGACTGTCTCGGTACTTTGAGGGAAAGTCGCGATCTTTCACATCGCTGGCAGATGTGACATCGATCGAAGATCTCGCGAAACCGGTCAATCCGTATGCAAAACGGCGGAAGTACTCGCACTCGCACGGGCACAGCAGTAGCCTTGGCAATATCAGTAATCTAGCGCAAAATGGGTTATCTGCTGATCATACGTTGTCGAGATTGAATCCACGGTCACAGAAGGGAGGGAGGTTAGGCAAGCGCATTGGCAACGGCTCATCGATTAACAACAGGAGTGGGAGTACGGCGATGTCGCTAGCGCAGTTGGAAGAGTCGTCAACAGCATTACGAAGTGCAGGGAGAGAAACAGGCACGGCAGATGAGGCGTGGAGGGAGAGGGAGAGCGAGCAGGAGACGGAGAGAGGGGGAGAGAGGGAAGAAAGCTATACCACAGGTCTTGGGAAGATTGCAGAGGTTGAACCAAGCAGAGCAGAAGAAGGAGAAGGAGAGAGCGAGCATTCTCATTGGCTCTCTTCCGTCGATGGTACGCATCGGCCAAAAATCAACGGCTACACTGACCTCTATCGCAGTCGATCTCTCCGACAGCATCGGCGACAGGTTGGTTCAAGGATGGGAGGGGGTGATAGGATATTAAGCAGCGCCACAATGCATATGCCTGACTGCCTGATGATGGCAGTATGAAGGGGAGTTGGGGGTGAAAGGGGGGGTGGAGGGGGGCGCTTTCAACTGAGTCCAAAATGCTTCTGAACACATTTGCTGGGTTTGATCAACCAAACCGGCTGTTCTCCCTCTCTCTCTCTCTCTCTCCATCAAACCAGGAAAGATTCACTTTTTAGGGATCTGGTCACGGCATTGACTAGTCTCTGACCGGAGTTGAGCAACACAATGTGTGTAGGCAGGGGAGAGGAAATAAAAGAGAGAGAGAGAGAGAGAGAGAGAGAGAGAGAGAGGGAGAGAGCAGCATGTGCTTGATGAGCCGTAGGAGGCAGACAGACAGTCTGATCGACTTCGTGTGGAACGGAAGTGCGATCAGGAAGAGGAGCAGCACATTGCAATGGACATTGCGGCGGCATTTTGCTATGCACTGGTCGCTACAGTCTTCGCCCAAGTAGAATGCCGGGTCATTATCGCCCTATCTAGACTACAATTTGGCCAAGTACGGCTAGTATGATGACTCGGTGTTCTATTCAGCAGAAGGTGGTAGTAGCCAGCCTGATGCAGCTCTGTCAGTATGTCAGCAACCTGCCAACCTCTGGGGTCTCTGAGGTGGTGATGTCAACTCAGTCTGTGTCCTTGACGCCTCCATCCTGCACGGAACAGTGAACGCACCCCCGCGCACTGTAAGATTTGTCCTCTGATCCTTCCTTCACGAAGATGTGCCATCCTCGTTCCATGCCTGGTTGATGCAATCTCCATGGTCTCATACGTTTGCCTGCCACTGGCGCACTTTGCGCAAAGAGCGGCACGCCAGTGGGTACGGTTTCTCTTCACCCCCTTGTGTGAAGTAGGTGGTGTCCTTCTCTAACCTCCCCGTACCCTGGCATTAAGGCACGGCTACCCGGATGTGTGCGGACTTCGGCGAAGCCGGACTCTGTTGACTCTCATCTCGGAGCTGCGAGCTGCACCAATGTCTGCGGCTCCTCTCCGTAGGTGATGTACGATATATATAGACTTAATCAAAGCCGATCCGATCCGATCAGATCAGATCCAATCAGCTCAGATCAGATCAGATCAGATGTGATGTACCTTAGTTGTATGGAATGGAATCCGATCCGATCCGATCTGATCCGATCCGATCCGATCGGATCCAATCAGATGTGATGTACCTTAGTTGTATGGAAATTACGGTGTTCGTTTAGCGCTGTTAATCTTGACTGGACGGTGGCAGGTGTGGCCATTTATACTTCTACCGTGCGTGGTGGGCCTTGCCGACAACGCGTGGACGCAATTGAAGTGACCTATTGCTTAGGCTAGGAGTCGAGGAAGGTTTCGTATGCGGACTGTTGGGAGGTTGCCCCCTTTTGGGCCCTTCATCCTCCACCATCCCGCACCCCCCGGGTCACACCATCCCCTCCCTCCCCCCCCCCCCCCCCCCCCCCCCCCCCCCCCCCCCCCGCCGGGTCTCTGGACCGGTGACTTGATGAAAAGTCTGATGGAAAACTACAGTACTGACCCCTCTTCCCTCGTCCATTTAGTTCGTCCTGTGACGAAACGCACAGTGGCGTGTTGCATTTGAATTTGATTTTTTTTTTTTGTTTTACTTCCCTCTAGAGGGAGAAGAGTTCTACGGGTTGTGACAAGGCAATCCCTCCTTTCTCTCCTCTGTGCCTACGCGGTGAGATCATGCAACAGAGTCCCTCCCTCTCTCCCCCTCCTCATATCTGTCTTCAGCATTGAAGAAGGCTTGCCAGGAAGATGCAGGGGTAGATAATTCATTCAGCATAAAAGGGGTTGCGGCGCCGTTGCGCAGATTCTTTGTCGTCCATTTAATACATTTATCCTTTTCTTTTTCTATTTCCCAGTCTTTTTTTTTCCTTTCTTCTTTTTTGTCGCTGCTCAATGTTTTTAACTTTTTTTTTTTTTTTGCTTCCAGGTTCCAGTGAATTCCCCTAGCTCTCAGTTTGTAGTACTTTGTACACCCATGAACTGTTGAAATATGAATCAGACCCAAATTCGAGTCCAGATGCAGTCAGATTAACAAAATAACGAATTCCCCTCCAAGGGACGACATTTTCATTGGATTAGGAAAAGCCTCCCCATCCAAGAGATTAATTGTGGTCCCGGATTTGTTTTTCCGAACACGAACACGTCCAGATTCATGATCTCTTGTTCTGGATGTGGTCCTGCGTGCGGTCTGGATGCGATCCTTGATTGATTTTTTTCTCCCTGATGATGGGATCATGGGTGAGCATTCAATCACAATGCGATCATTGGATGTTCTCCCGATGATGGGATCACGGATGAGCGTTCTTTCAATCGCTCTCCTGTTGTTCGTGATTGAGATCGATTGCAGTCCCAGATTTGTTCTTCCAAACACGTCCAGATTCATGAGTTGTGGTTCTGGATTTGGTCCTATATGTGGTCAGGCGGATGCGATCCTCGATGTTGTCACCAAAGGTGGGTTCGCGGGTGAGAGCATTCATAATAATTCTCCTCTTGTCCGTCTGTGCTCGATCAATTTGATGACAGTGTGGTCTCTGTCTATGCGATCCTGATGCGTTCCGGAGTTCAAACCAATGGTTAGCCATGAGCATGGGCATGTTCACGCTTAGTAGGGATTTCCTCACGTATCTGACTGCAATTGCGGCCAGAGACGTGGACGAATCTAGCTGCAATCTCGTCCAGAGCGTAGTAAAAAACGTCGTACTGTGAGTATGCCCTGGTACAAAGGACGGATCGGTGACTGAGCAGCCGCCGTGATGGATTTCTCGATTGGTCGTGACCGGCGACATAGTTGACGACTTGATTGAGTCATATTGACCAACGGCCACCCTCTTCATTGTTTGTTGTTGACGTTTTTACGTTCTCGATTCCCGCTCTCTTAACCGCGCACCTCTCCAACCCCTCCTCCCCTTCCCGCCTCCCCCCTCCCTCGCCCCCTGGGCTAACAGCATGCCGCCTCCTACGAGGGATTCTTTCTTGTTCTTGAATAATGTAGCAGTTAAATCGATCAGTCGTGGGCATGTTCGTGCCTTCTGTCCTACTGAAATATGCGATAAGGCGACTGATTTACGATTTTACAGCAATCGCCTCCGCTTGCCACTAATGGGCCTCACCCTTCGATCGGTTGCCCGTACAGGGTCGGGCCAAATCCAGTCTTGTCGAAATAGGCTATAAGGCTATATATGCGCTCCTAGTCTGATGGATCATCTCTGGAAGAAAGACGCGACAGACGTGAGCAAAGCTAAGTGACCTATAGCTATACTGCCAACTACTACAGCTATACCGTCAACTAGTATAGCTATACTGTTTAGCAACGTACTTAGTCTTAACGGTCGACCAAATCCGTACCATTGACTCCATTCTTCTTGTTGGGTGGGAGAGACTTTGAGAGCAATGTGTGTTGCAGACCGACGTGGATGGCTGGAGTGGGATATTTTTTTTTTTGGTTTTTTTTTTTGCCGTTGATGATGCTGAGAAGACTATGGTAGTGGTGAAGCTGCGAGCTGTCCATCGCTCTGTTGGAGTTCCCTCAGGTTTGCTCCAGGACCTACTCTTGCTATCAGCGGATAACACGTCAGCGTTCCTGCAGCCGTGATCTTTCCATCACTCGCTGCCCCTCAGCTGTCTAGAGTACGTGCTCGTTGACGGTGGACTGGTCGTTAGCTCACCGCGGCGCTGCTACTTGCGGATCGATCATTCATATATCAGTTTCTCGGAGGAGCAGAACCTGCGTCCTGTACATTACTTTCTGACGTATTTCCGATCCACCCGATCTCCCTGATCTTCTCGATCTTCCCGATCTCGCCGATCTTCCCTCACGACCTCTTTCATTTGCCTGAAATGTGAGTAGAAGCTGAATGAAAGGGGAATGAGAGATGTTAATAGACTCGACTAGGGTCCGTTAAACGATTTGAGTTTTGTCATCAAAACTCTCGCTCGTCAAAGATCTGACGTCTACTCTTCTGTTTGTCCGTCCGACTTCCTTCTCCATCTTGCTCTATGCGCCTTCCGGACACGGAGTTCTGTGAACGTCCGTCGATGTATGTTCACGTGAAACAGATCAGATGCATGCTTCTTTTGCTTTTCGCCAGCTGCTGCCTCTCTTTGCCGCTCTTTCCCGCAAGCTGCTACTGACCGAGTAGCGTTTAGAAATGGAGATGAGTCTTCAGAATCTCTCACCTTCCGGGTAGCCGAATGGACGTAATGGTTCGTCTTCGTGTCTTGATCGCCTGGCCAGACATTCTGGCCCTGTGCCATACTGTGCAGTGTGCATTGTCGCGTTTTCTAAATGAGATTCAGAGGAACAAATGTGATAGGAGAGGGAGAGAGGGACAATACTCACAGCAGAGCTTCTCTCTCTCTCTCTCTCTCTCTCTCTCTCTCTCTCTCTCTCTCTCTCTCTCTCTCTCTCTCTCTCTCCTGCGCTCTCGCTCTCTCTTAAAAGGGATGAGTACTTTTGCAGGCCTTGGAAGGGGTGGGGGGGGAGGAGAAGGCCAGTGGGAGATGGGTGTTTACGGCCAGGATGTGATGGATATGTGGGCAGCTGGTATTTGTTTCATGCGCATGGAGGTGGATGCATCTTCTGTTCGACTGTGTGCTACCTCTTCGTGATGGCGTTCTGTCGACATCTCTGTGGTTATCATTGCTGATTGGTATGGTGATGGATGAAGAAGTCTACCGAGGCGATCAGTGAAAATAACTGTTTGCGGTGTTTGGTTAACCGCAGTAAAAGGTTATTTTTACTGATCGATAAAACACTTTCAGTAAAATTAACTGTTTGCGGTGTTTGGTTGACCGCAGTAAAAGGTTCACCGCAGTAAAAGGTTACACCAAACACTTTCGGTAAAAATAACTGTTGGTGGATGAAAGTGTCGAAAGGTTTGTGGAGTGAAAGGTGGAGCCACAGGGCACTGGAGGCAGATGACAGTCTTTTGGCTGCATCAGCGCTTCAGTCTGAGAATCGATTTGCCGTCTTTGCTGTTAATACGAGACTCTGTCTGATCGCCGCCGGTGTTGTCGTGACGAGTACTGGATCGTACTCGAGTCTGGACAGTTGTAGGACGACAATCATGACCAAATCAAGAAGTGATCTGGCCTCTGGGTGATTGTTAATGATGATGAGAAGACGACGCCGACGGATCCACGAAGACTCGAAGAGCTTGTTGCGAGCGTGTGACTTGTGACTGATTGGCGACGAACAGATCCACGCAGTGCCGGTTTTTCTCCTCCGATGCATCTGTGCCAACCTTCAGCGAAGCGAAGGTTGGCGTAGTTGTGCTTTCAGCGGAAGGGAAGGGAGGGAAGGAAGGTTGGCGGCGCAGATGCATCGAATTCTATTCTCTAGGTTTGTGCAGGTGCGTCGAATTCGGTTATATTGCCTCTCCCTCTCTCCTTTGCGGCATGACTGCGCAACGTGAACAAGGCAATAGAATAAAACAAGGACATCTGGGATGTACCTGACCGCTTTCGCAGCCAGATTCTGTGAAGAGGGATAAAATTTATATCATTACGATTGCTTGCCTGGACGGCAATAGAATAAAACAAGGGCATTTGCGATGTACCTGATCACTATCGCGGCAAGATTCAGAATCTGTCCAAGGAGGCATTACAGTCTTCGAGTATGCACCCCTAAATCTGACTCAGTCGGACATAGCTCATTTCTGACGCTGGGTTAACTCATTTCTGGTCGGCCCTGGTTTGCAGAGATCGATGGATGATGTACCTGACCACTATCGCGGCAAGATTCTTTCCAAGAGATGAACTCATTTCTGCCCCTGGAGAATTTCGGCAAGTGGCAGTGGGCCCCGGCCCTGACTGCTCTGCGCTGAGAGGAGCGCGATCGTTCTATGTATTATTTGAATGATTTTTTTCTCAAGGTTCGGAGGGGGGTGCGGACCTTGAGCAAAACCTTATTCGAATTGTCTACATTGTCAAATGACTGCTGACGACGGAGACGGACGGCTGGTCGGCCCAAGTCTGATCCAAGACGGAGAAATGCAGACCTGTTGTAGAGAAGGATGCGACTGAAGCAAAGGGCAGTCTCTGATGAATGCAGCTGCATGCAGATGACGTCCGGGAAGGCCGACTTCTGCCTTACTCTGGGAGTCGGGAGCGTCTGGAGAGAGAGGGGGTTGCTGGTACAGTGCTGCTAGGTGTGGAGAAGCATTTGGAAGAGAGGAGGGGAGGGGAGGGGAGGGGATCGAGGGATGGGCTGGAGGGGAGGTAGGGAGGGGGGAGGGGGGGGATTAGCCATGTATGCGCTTGGGCTGATGATGAGGAAGGAAGATGGTGGTGCTGGAGGCTGACAGTGTGTGCTTCACAGAGACGGCGGCGAATTGCGTTTTCTCGACTTTTCCGGGTTTTCTGAGTTTTCTCGAAATCTGTGAAGCATGGCAGGGGGCTGCCTTTGGTCTAGGCTTCCTCCCTTGTTATTTGCAGTGTGTGTTTCATAGTGTGATATGTGGGCGAGGGGAGGAGGGATATGCTCCTGTCCTCTCTCTTAAGCGTGTACGCCGAGAAGCCCCTCGTCCATTTTTGATTTGATGGTTTTCTTTTTTTCTTTCCTGGTTAACCCTCTTTTGGTCTTTCCCTGGAGATGTTCTTTGTATCTCTACAGGACTACAGTGCAGTAGGAACTGTGAATAATTACAGTCTGCTTTGGGCTCTCCCCCTCCCCCTCCCCCTCCCCCTCGTCTTAGAACACTTGACGGTTCGATTGAGAGTTGTGTATACACATCAGGTAGCTTTTTCAGATGCTGCCTTCGGATGCCAGCGTTGCCCTCTTTCCAGTTTCAGAACCACCAATTAGACCTTAGTCATTGCACTACGAATTGTTGTTCATTCTTTTCACATATTTGAGAGGAAAACATTTTTGGGCAATATTCTGCCCGCAAATCCACTTCTTTCGGAGTCCAATTCAACTGTGTGTGTGTGTGTGTGTGTGTGTGTGTGTGTACGTGTACGTGTGTGTACGTGTGTGTGTACGTGTACGTGTGTGTGTGTGTGTACGTGTGTTCGTGTGTGTACGTGTGTGTGTGTGTGTGTGTGTGTGTGTG